TTACTTTCTCTGAGGGAAAATAACTGATTTGACCTTTGTCTGTTTTCATGAAAGCCATGTACGCGGCAAAATAAAAAAAAATAAAATAAAATAAACCTTGAGATTTTTTTTCTTCTAGAAAACAAAGGTAGCTTTGTGCAACCTTGGTGCTGTCTCTATTCTTTTTTTTGTTCAATATGAAGAGCAAGAAGAAAGAGGTACAATCTGCAGCGCAAGGTCAAGGGTGAACTAAAGCCCGGGGAGAACTGAGGAGTCAACATGTCAGAAAAGAGCGAGACACGGCATCACAAGGCATCGCACGCCATGTGGCAATGGCTACTTCAGCGAGACTTGACACCACTGTGCATCTGTGGACGCTGTTTGCTGCTAATGTTTATAAAATGAGGTGACCACAAGGGGTCCATGCATGTGTGCAATCTGACTCTTTTCCAGCAAGGCAAACATTAGCGGCCCCATACCCTGGTCTCATAACATATTTTTATGATCAGACATAGCATTAGGAAAACTTACAGCAGAACGTGTTGAATTACTGGCAAATGCACTGGGTGACATCAACAATCCTCAATCAAATATCAGATAATCCCCTTCCTCATTATTTTTTCTTACTCTATACACACCCGCTCTCTCTCACTAAATCACACATCACATAAATTAATCATCAACTCCCAAATAAATACGCCTGCGTGTCAAATGAAATCAACAAGAGCCTCATCAGAAGCCAGGTTATAAGGGATATTACATATCAGTGCACTCAGTTAGCCCCTCTGCATCTCTAAGTAGGCCTTCATTAGGAGATAATGGTACATGGTAATACCTGATTCATAAGGAAGTCACATCTAATATCATTGCTCAGAAAGCTGTGTCTTAAAATGATGTGTTTCCAGACCAGTCCTGTGAAGCACGATTGAAAAGCCTTTTAAAGTTTTCCCCTGGGCCACACCACGCTTACTCACGGCCGTGTCACACAGGAGGAGCCCTCCTCTTCCGTGACCGCTTGCGTGAGGCTTGTCTCCAGCCAACAGGGCCTGCAAACATCACCATTGATCCCTGAGAGCTTAAACCTCACTGAGTGCGAGCTAGCGCTGTCAAGTCCCACTGCGGCCGGACCGCTGTGTTTGCTGCTGTTTGGTTCACGGAGTCAACGTTTTGGGGAAATATCCGTGTGACACCTGTTGTTACATTTATGGCCTTTGAGAGTGATGTGACGTGCAGAGAAATGGCAACACTGAAGGGTGTTTGTGCTGTACAGGACGAGCTGTAGACAGCACGAAATGTCACTTTGATTCCTGCAGGCATGATGGAGGGATTCAAGGTCCATTAGGTGAGATTTTTATGCAGCTGCATCTGGAGCTTAAATGGTTGATTGACTGATTAGTCAATGGACAGATCATTTATCTATTTTGATAATTAATTTAATCATTTTTAAGCAGTTTCAGCTTCTTAAATGTGAGGATTTTGCTGTCATATGGGTTACCCTAAACCTTACCCTAACCCATATGATGATTACCTTGAGTTTTATATTAATGCTATTAATATGAAGATGCCACTTTGGGCTCTGGGAAATTATAATGATATTCCTACCAAGAAAATATTTGGAAGATTAATTGATTATAAAATAATCCTTTTCCAGGCTACACCAACAACAGTCCAAGTCTCTGTGGGAGACAGACTGCAGATTTGGCCTGTTTGCCTAATATAAAATTCTGGTAGTGCCTCTTCTTTGCACACTGGAAGTGACAAATCTAAACTTTGAATAAAGTCTGAGTTCAAACTGATTCCTAAGCAGCAGTGAACAAACACTCCGTCCAGAGAACATCTGACTCACAGCTGTCAGATCTTTTGCCTCGTTGAAATCTTTGGATAAGTTTCTTTTGGAATACAGTACAGCAGCATAGCTTCAGAAACAAGAGTCCTAAGTACGGTTGATTGACGGCTCCTCCCAGGGTTTCTGGGTATTGAAATCCCTCAGCTTCAAACGCTATTGCTAGTGAACAAATTCAACATGAAAACTATTAGATAGCGCATATTTGCAGAGAGCAACATTGCACATCTGCTGGTATGATCAGCCTTTTTCTCTACAGTCTAAATCACTGGGTTCCAAAGTAGGGGTCAGGGCCCACAGAGGGGTTGCAAACTCCATTATCACAGGTTGCATACAGTATATTTATGAGAGATTTAAGGGATACTCCAGCCTTTTATTATTGCACCGCCATAAAGTTTGGGGACTTACAAGGGACAGATTTTTCAAATAGAGTGGTAAAAATTGAGGCAGCATATGCTGACTTTTAGTCCCCAGGATCCGGAAACTTTGGGATGCCCATGATGAAGCTTGATGGTGTCTTTAATTAAACCATCTCTGCCTGAAAAAAGTCACATCCTTCAAAGTCCACACCTCTGTTTGTAATGCAGGATTTCTGTTAAGCATGTTCAGTGTCAAGCCTAAATAACCCTGATGATGTCATCAGGGTTAACTTAACTAAGCTATTCAGAATTGTACAAGAAAAACAAAGAGGAGAGAAAATCTGAAAAATGGAGAACTTTGTAGAGGTTGCAAGAGAAATCCGAGCAGGCGCACCGTCAAAAGAGGCAAACCGGGCAACAGAGGCCCCCACAGCCATTGATGTAGGTACCGTTTGCAATGACTCATATAAACCCCCTTAAACTTCTCATAAGACTGATTTGATCAAGTACAATTGACCAAATTTATTTTTTTGACAATGATTTTTTGAGGGGGGCTTCTTTGCTCAAGAACCTGCAGAGTCTGGGACTGCCACTGGATCTGGGGGGTTGTAAGATTAAAGATAAAAATACATGCTTTCTCAATATTTCAGATTTTCTCTCTTCTTTGTTTTTCTTGTGAAATAACCCTAATGATGTCATCAGATAACCCTGACAATGTCATCAGGGTTATTTAGGAGACTGAACACACAGAAACCCTACATTACAAACAGAGGTGTGGGTTTTGAAGGATGTGACTCTTTTTCTGTTTCAGTGAAAGACACCATCCAGCTACATTATGGGAATCCCACAGTTTCCAGATACTGGGGACTGAAAGTCAGGTTATCTCGGCCTCCACTGCTTCAGTTTTTACCACTCTTTTTTTAAAATCAGTCTCTTGTAAATCTCCAAAATTCAATAAATATAATAAATTATAAATAGCTAGTGTAAATTTCTTGTAAATATACTGTATGCAGCTCGTTATAATGATGCTTGCACGAAGGTTTTAAGTGGCCACGAGCCAAAATAGTGGGAGCCACTGGTATTGAAATTATGCATTTAGTTCTCTTTTTCAATTTTCACTTTCACATGCTTTCATTTTTTCTCTGTTTTTACAAGTGGCCTTTACAGATTTTTCACATTACAACAACAAGAAATGGCACCTGCTACCCTTTCACGAAAATACAGTAAAGACAACACTGCCCCGTGATAGAATACTATTCACACGCAAGCTGCATACTAGACTATCAAAAGCCTAGCTACTTTGGTGTTGAGTACACAGTTTCCTCACAATAAACCAATACATACAGAGACCAAGACATAATATAGAAACAGTCAGACAGAGTCACAGATAAAATGGAAAAGCTGGAGTGCTTCTGCACTCCATCTAACAGGGAACTTTGCACACCCATGTTCAGTGACTGCAGTGGGCAATGGAGTCGTGATGCTGTGACCTCAATCTATTACTGCACTCAGTTCAGCTCCATTGGCTGCCATACAGTGACTTTAGACCATGTGGGTGGGGGACAGTGATATCACATCAGATTCAAATACCATCACTGTACACACTCACATACAGCAACAACACTCTGAGGAATCTTGTATGTCACAGCCATTAAAGCAGTAGACAGAGAATGATGAGCAATTTTTTGCAGAAGATACAATCAGCACAGTCACAATCAGATCACTGAAAGGCAGACATTTGCCTGTGGAGCTGTGTGCTTGTGTTGTGACATTTGATGTAAATGAGTGAGTTTCAAAGCAGCAGCTACAACTCAGTAAAACCTCATGGAAAAGCCTGCATCAAATATCAGTTAAAAACGGGAAAATCTGTTTCTATATAGGTTCTAAATCAGTCCCCGTTTTACTTGATTTTTCTTCTCCATAACAAAAAGAACAAAGAAAAACATCAAATTGGCAAACATGCCCAATCCTCAAATGCTTCCCACTTGGCACAGCCGCCTCACATTCAGGTGTATTTTTACCTATGAAATATGTGTAAAACATATTCATTATTTTTGTGCACATGGCTTTAAACAAATGATCAACATCTGCCCTAAACATGCATGGCACCTGACTGAAACCTGGACCTCAAAAATTGTTTCAGGTGTGAGTGGCACAATGTTTTTCTTATTTTCTGCTTGAAGTCAACATAAAGCCTGTCCCTTCACCCTGCACAAATAGCCTTCCATATCCCCTTTATTCTCCCTGACACTGTATCCAGTTCATGATATCAGAGAGTGGATCGTTTTCAAATGAAGACAGGCGTCCACACAATCAGCACAGTTAACTCCCAGAGAGAGGGGAAAAATGCGTTGACATGCCTGTTGCACAGGCGTGTCTGTATTACAGCCCAGGCTGTTCCTGGGTGCAGCGCGGTCATGATGATGGATCCATTAAAGACTGCGTGAAAATGACACAATTAACATCGATTTGAGGGGGGTATGAAAAAGATAAACAGTGTGGGGAAGTTGACAGTGTGAGCTGCGGCTTGATGAATCAACATCTCTGCTGCGCATAGGGGAAGAGAAAAGAAAGAGAGAGCTCAAACAGTGACAATAAGTCCCGAGGATGAATCAGAAACACGCGTTGAAAATTCAATGTGCACAGTGGTGTATTTGAAAACCTCCAGAAATACACAAAATCTTTAGAAGCACGACAGAAACGTGACAAGTGGTGCGTAACCACTGGGATGGCACTGCCTTTTTAACACGCCGGGGAAAGGCGTTTAAAACCCCGTGACACCGAAAGTAAGCATGCATACACACGGACGCAGCTCTTACCTTTGGAGATTACTGATACTGTGCAATAAACAAGGAGCAGGAGGCCCGCCATGGAGAGGTAACGTCCTTTTGTCAGCGCACCCATACCGACGCGTAGTTCTCCACGGATACGCTATAGGGGTGACGGTGCTCCGGATCTCTGGTGCCTCCTCTCGCCTCCTCCGAGCTGGCCGAGCCCGGCTGCGCAAGTTCCTTCTGTAAACCAGGCAAGGGGACAGTTTGGCGCTCTGGGAGGAGAAGGAGAAGAAAATGAAGAGGAGGAAGTGAATGGCTTACGAGCTGGACTGTTGATCGAAAGGACAGAAGCATCTTCACTTCACTTTTGCTGTGCGTGTGTGCGCAGCAGGAGAGCCGCGCGCTCCGAGTTTACCCCCTTTCCAGGCATCATCATCCCGGAGCTTGCCTCGTACTAACCAATGGCAGAGTGAGGGGGGCGGGAGAGGAGGGGACCGAGGGGTAGGCTACATGTAGGCCTAATCACTCAAACATTTCTTCTAACTGCAGTGCATCAGTCATAAGTGCTGTTAATGCGCTTAGGCTTAGGTAATATTGGTCAAAGTAGAAAAAACACAGTATGAAAATAGTTCATTTCACTTAATAATTCAACGTGATACAGCTGCAGCTGATATTCCAGTAATATTCCCGAACCTGGCGATACATTTGAAGAGAGAGTGCAGCAGTGACTGGCAGTCAAGATATGTGGTCAGTGTAATAACTTATTATTTCCTCTTCAATCAGAGCAGAGCAGCAGAGCACACAGGCCCTCAGTACCCCTGACTGCCAAGTACATTTCTTAGAAATGTTTCTTGGCATTCTTGTTCTGTTTTCTGGTCATAATTAAAAACTACAAATCCTTCAGATTATTTGGGGCACAGAAAACACTTCTGTCACTGTCACAAAAACCTTTCAGCAATAACACAAGGTTAAGAACACTATGAGCCACTTGGATCTAAGTTTTATAGGTATGTGTGCAAACCAGTGGAATGGAATTGAAAATGGAAAACCACATGGACAACCATATGGAAATATGACATATTTCTTTCATATGTTCATTTGAAGAAAGTTACAGTCTCCTCATTGCTCGCATTTAGGTACAATCAGTGTTTCCACTCTGTTGTGTTTTCATTTTACTGAAATGTGCATTAAACACAGGTAGATGGACATGCACTTTGTAGCAGTTACATTGATGTCAGATTTAATGGAGACTGTACTGTACTATACTGGAGATCATTTGATAAAGATCACTCACACATTAAAAAAAAACAATGCTCATAAAATAACAGTATTTAAGTTCTAATACTAGTGAGCTGTACTCTATCCCTGTCATTTCTCTGAAGACAGTGTAGCAAATAGTAACATATTTGGTTTAAATATCAATCAACAGATGAATTAATGATTGAATAACTGACTGATTTACTGGTACTTTTCCCTGCATTTCTCTATAGAAACTGTAACAAGAATGAAAATCCATCCACAACCAAATCATTGGAAAAAAAGGTTGGCACTGTACACCTTTCAAACCACCATTGTGTTACATTTGCACATTATGATGTAGTGGATATGAAACTTTACGTTTCTTTATGTTTCAGCAACACAGTGGTGGATGTGTTAGGTTTAGGCACAGAAGACTCTTGGTTATGGGTTAGGAAAATATCGTCTTTGGGCTTAAAAAACAGTTTTGGTGGCACAAACACGGCAGGAGAAGCTGTAGATGTCTCTGTTAGAAGAAAAAGGGGGGTGGGGCTATTCCCGGTTGAAAAGCAGTGACGGGTTGCTAAGAAACATCCATGGTTGATTACTAAAAAGCTGCTGGAAATACACTGACAGGTGGCTAACATCAATACTTTACTTTAGAAATATTGATTTGATACATATGAAATGTACGGATGAAACTTATTTGTGAAAAAAACAATGCTGACACGAGAAGAACATGCAAACTCCACACAGAAGGGCCACAGCGTGGGTGCAAACTGGAACCCACTTGCTGTGAGGCAACAGTGCTAACCACTGCACCACCCTGCTGCCTACGTAAATAAAATTCAGTTAAAGTACTGGTAATAGCAAGTAAAAAGAAGAAAAAAATGATTACAAGAAATAATTGGGGAAAACAGTGCCCATCACACAAGACCATTAGTTCGTAATTGTTTAAGAAATCTTCTTAAAAGAAAAACTGTTACATATCTTAAGACTACATGATGTTTACCTGGGAAAAAAGTCCTTGAAGTACATTGTTTTTAGGACTTGATGATTTTTATCATATAAATGCGCACATACTTAACCCATTTAGCAAATTTTTCCCAGACATAAAACTATCCAAATCATCTGTCACTGGTAACCCTTTGAAATAATCAATCATTATTTTTTTTCTAATTTTCATGGAACAGTAGGTAAAAAAAAAAAACTGTTACTGGCAGTCCCCAGCATTGCCACGAGAATGCTCTATCACATTCTAGAGTGACTACTTTACATATGAAAAACCCTTAAACATACTATCACTGCTTTGTCAGTGGCCTTTTACATTCACTTAAGATGTGCTAGGTATACTGCTGCAGCTGCTGTTGACATTCCAGGATGCGCTATCAACACTGGGTGGATGTCAACAAAAGCTCATGGTTGGGTTTAGGCAACAAAAGTGGTTAGGTTAAAAAACATCTTGGTTTGGCATTTGGGAAGCGAGCATTAAGCTCCCGGGTGAAAGTCCGAGGTTTGTTAGACCCATCCACCACCTCTCCTACCCAGATGTTGTTTCCAGCAGCATTTCAACCTGACCCCGTCCAGCAGCATATCATACCCCCCGATCGGTGCTGTCCGGCTGACCGGCATATCATAACACCACCAAAGGTTACATCAAGCTGCGTTACATACTGATGCCACCCGACTGCATTACATACTGCCCCAAAAGGTGGCTTTTAGCGTCAGGTGTCTGACGCCCAAATCACTGACAAAGCAGCAACAACTTTAGAATAAGAACAGGAGGTCATTATCACTGCTAATGTTGTTCCTGTCATGATCTGTTTATAAAAGCCTGGCTGACAAATGGCCTGTCTCCCTCTCATTGTCAATATCTGACCCATCGCTATCACAATCATTGAAGACTGCATGTTTTTTATTATTATTATTATTATTATTTTGAGGGAGAACTGTAAGTTTGTATGCATTGTCTTGGCTGTCACCTCAATCCCACATATCCAAAACTTCACTCAAAATGAGCCCAAAAAAAGAAGAGTAGAAGGTTACGTAGAACAAGAAATATATGTGTGTGGAAGTACATGAACATTTAGATTATTGCTGACGTCAATATGTTCACTAATTCTGTGACCTCACTGAACAAAGTTAAGTAATTACAAATGCTCATATCAATAACAGACACCTTAATGATAACGTGTACCATAAATGTCTGTCCTATCTTTATGTTAGCATACTTTACGAACCTTTTGTTTGGGAGCTTTGATGCAGCCATCCTTGTCTCGTGGTGTAACCAGGAAGAAGAGAGGAACAGCTCTGGACATGTGACAATTTACACTAAACATGTGACACTGCACATATTTCACTGAGACTCTTTATTGTTTCACAATTTGTTGGAAATGTATAGATACATCATTAAGTGACATTTTTAGAGCCATATCACTGTGAAGTTTTTTTGTGGTCACTAATGTGACCAAGACACAAACTATCACAAACTAATGACTAACATTATTAGTGGGAGAAAAAGGGTGTCATCAGGGGCCCACAGCTACATTTGACTCTAAGGGCCAAAGGTGGTTAAGCCAGCCTTTCCCCACTGAAGAGTTCTTGAGCCAGAATCCCCACAAACCACAAACATAAACAGGAAACTCAGTGACAGCTGGCTGACCAGGGGAGCCAAAAACTGCTCTTATTGTCTAATTATCTTTCACTAAACACGGAAAATGGTTTTGTAAGATTTATTTTCTGTTTTTCTTCTGTTTTCTTCAGAGCTAATGATTCAGTATCGTACTACTCTATACTTTGGTCAGAGGACAAAAGATTTCAGTCAAGGTTGTGTTGCTGAAGGACAGTCTGTGTCACCGCCAGAGCATCTTGCTATTTGCAGTGTGTAATGTAGGTCTGCTGTTGCACAGGACCAGAACCATTTTACTTTTCTGTTCATGATTTGTGCTGCTTGTTGTTTATCTGTCATTGTGATTGAAAATGTTTCTAAATGAATGACATGATTGAAAACTAAATAATTGCAAGAGAAAGAACCTTATAGGCCCACAACATTTCTTATGTTGAAAAGTTGTTTACCAGTACATTATGTGCAGTTACAAAGAATTTCCTGCCAAGATGCATCTGCTCGGTCTGTATCATCTACAATGTCCTTGTTTCATATTTATTGGAATGAAGGCCTAATGCCAGCCTTTTTCCCCCTCTTTTATCACATTTCCCAGCAACAAAAAAAGTACAAACTTAAAACCAATAGAAACTAAATGTTTGCTCAGCATTATGCATGCCTTTGACTTGAAAACCTTTTTATTTGAGTTTACCATTCCTTAATGATAGCTGCAAATAAACACTTTCAAAAAGTCACCACTTTTTTTCTCTTCAATCTGTCAAAATTTTCAGCAACTCTGCTTCTCCCTTCCATCAAGCAAAGCTCAGGGTGTTTCGTCAGGAAGTTCTTGACCTGATTCTGTGTTGCAGATATTCTGCACTCAATTATGTTTTCACTCTCATCTGACACAGATGTGTGGCCAGCAGAAAACTTTACGGAATGGCTTTAAATCTGACTTTATGGATATAGAGAAAATTAGATACCGACTCAAGTGACCTTCATTCATTCATTCATTCATCTTCTAACCGCTTCATCCTCTTGGGTGTCGCGGGGGGGCTGGAGCCTATCCCAGCTGACATCGGGCTAGAGGCAGGGTACACCCTGGACAGGTCGCCAGACTATCACAGGGCTGACACATAGAGACGCTCACATTCACACCTACGGACAATTTAGAGTTATCAATTAACCTAGTCCCCATTCTGCATGTCTTTGGACTGTGGGAGGAAGCCGGAGTGCCCGGAGAGAACCCACGCTGACACTGGGAGAACATGCAAACTCTGCACATAAGGCCTCCCACGCCCGGGATCGAACCGGCAACCCTCTTGCTGTGAGGCGACAGTGCTAACCACCACACCACCGTGCCGCCCTCCTTCATACGTTCAATTGCTTAAATTGGAATTTGTTGGTGTTTCCATGACAATAAGTGTTTCTTATTTCATTTATCAGAGACACCATCATTATGGCAGCTTGACTGAGTAGTAGTTGGCAGAAACCCAAAAGTCAAGCAAATTAAATGCAAAAGCTTAACATTTTTATGGTTGCTGG